GGCCCCGGGCCCGCGGGTCTCCCCCAGAAGAAAAGGGGGAGGGGGAGAAATAAACTTTCTTTCTGTGCTTTATTTTTCTGGAGCGCTCGCGTGTTTCCCGAGTTTCGGGCTCTCCCGGTGCCCCCGGAGGTGGCCCCGGGTAAAGCAGCGTCACTCACTGCCACCGCCGCTCCTTCCCGCGGCGGCCTGGTTCTCCCTCCAAAAGACCTCTTCACTTCCACAGATTCCGCCGTCGCCGTTCGATGCCTCCCGTCATGTTGCGCGGGCGCGCTGCCAGGAGGAGCGGTGGCAGAGCCGCCTGAGACCTTATGTCCACCTCTGTGGGGATGGGTGTTGCTAGAAGGGGCAGCAAGAAATTCATTTCACCAAAATACTTACCTGTGTAATTTACCCAGACTTTTTAAGACTTGTGTTTCTTCCGCTCAGAAAATTCCCTTCTTCTGTGGTCGGCTTGGTGCAGATCAAGGTTACATGTGAGGGCACAGAACCTAACTGCTGGATACCTGTGCTTGCCAGAGGCTGTGTTGTATATAAGATGCAGTAACCTCAAGTGTTTGATATCTGGCCTGAGCTAAACCTAGACAACTGCAGCAGAAGTGGTGCTACTCCTGGGGCAGGGGGACGGTGGGATGTGTAGAGGGAACAGAGGTGCTTTTCCTTCCCCATTTCTCTAAGGCGGTGTGGTTTGTGTCCTGCAGGATCCCAGAGTCCTGGACAGCATGCTCCCGTATCTGACAGCCTACTACGGCAACCCCCACTCCAGGACCCATGCCTACGGCTGGGAGAGTGAGGCCGCCATGGAGAAGGCGAGGCGGGTGAGTCCTTGGCTCACTGCCGTCATAGTGGTTTTCCTGCTAGTGAGGAAATTCAGTGCCGAAAGAGAATCAAAAGCAATGATAGAAGTATTGTAGTTAGTTCTCCGTGGGCTGAATTTAGCAGCTTCCTCTTTGCTTAGATATACTTCAGCAGATTTATTGCAAGAAAAAATAGTGAGATTAGAGCAACTGAAATGGCAGAAACCAATACTTTAGGCAAAGCTTTCTCAGGATTTTTGGTTTCCTGAGGTCACAAGCGTGCTGCTGCAGTAGTTGGGCTAACTTCATATTTTCTCATTCTCCTAATCTTAGTTATGGGTCTTTGTCTTTTTTTGTTTGAAGTAATATGTACTGGGTTTTTGTCTGCTTAACTTCTATGTTCTTTTATGACCGGCTAATGCTCAATACCACTGCTGCTAATGACTATGGATTCCTTATGTATTTCGTATTAATGCAGATATTTAGACTATTGTACCTGTAGCATAACTGTGTTAGATACTAGCTGTAGCCCGTTGAAAGTTCAAGGGAGTATTCTTGAAAACATTTTGCACGTGTTTTGCTATGGTGAATTCATTGTATTTTATCTTAACAAATCAAATTTGTATGTCTTTTTAAACAGCAAGTTGCGGATTTAATAGGGGCTGATTCAAGGGAAATTATATTTACCAGTGGTGCAACAGAATCAAATAACATGGCGATTAAGGTAAAAGGTTTATACTGATAGTTATTTATTGTGGTAAAATTATGCTTGTAATTAAAATTTTTATCATGAAATATAGCGGAGATGCCCACTACAAACTTTTTTCTGACTGAGACTAGGCAGTGTTTTAACCTTAACTATGTGTTTAGTCAGGCTTCTCATTGTATATGACTCCATTGCAAATGTTTTTGAAATTAAAAAAGTATTTCTGTTAATAGTGTGTAGAACTTATATCAGTTAACGTTTTCACAGGCTTTTTGAAAAGTGGGATGCTTTGAAAAACAGGTGCTGCTGTAGTGTGAATTACATGTAGTAATGTATGTATGTAGTGTGAATTACATGTCAGTACCTTTTAGATTCATGACTTTTGGTCAAACAGGGAAGATGCAAATGAATTATATGTAAATAGTAATTTCTTGTTTCTGATCATTTTCTGTAAAGCCTGCTTTCTTCAGTGGTCTAATGGCAAGTTTTTTTTGTTCATGGATTGTACATGACAGGGTGTTGCAAGGTTCTATAAATCCAGAAAAAAGCATATCATTACTACACAAACAGAGCACAAGTGCGTGTTGGATTCTTGCCGTTCCTTGGAGACAGAAGGTTTTCGGGTCACGTATCTACCTGTTAAAAAAAATGGGCTCATAGATTTGAAGGTAGGTTGTTTACTGACAGAAAGAAAGTGAAAATAGAAGAGGTTCTTGCTTCAAGTTGTTGCTTGAAAGGACCTTATGGGCTCTTGATGATAAAGAGGAAAGGATGATAAATAACACAAGCTAGAATGGGAGTCACAGTCAAATCTCCGTCACAGTTGGAGAAGGATTTTCTGTTCTGTGTGGTGCTCTAGACTTTTTCTCAACCAAAACATCAGTCTCTTATCCCACTGTTCACCTGCTGTCATTCCTTCCCGTGGCGGTGGAGCTCTTGCATACCCTGTAGAGAGCCCTGTACATGACTAGGATGGAGCTGGCTTTGATACAGGAGTCAGCGATGAAATTTCATGATCTGAGCTACTCAAGGTATCAGACACAGCAATTACAATACTGCCTTCTGCTTCTACTGCTGTCCATGAACCAACCCTTCTGGGTGTGTTGGCCACAGTCCTGGGATTTAGAAGTTGTATATGCTTATTTCATTATTTGTGTCCTGTAATACAGGAGAGTATCAGTTTTATTTCTAGCCCCATCATCTGGCTTGGAGAGATGTATGTTTGTGGTGGGGTAGAGGGATTGGGCCTGCAGGTGCAGAAGTGTTAGTATGTTCTGCGAGAACCGTGCTGGCAGATTCCGCCTTTGCTTGATGCTTTCTTGTATATAGTGCAGTTCCTGTATAGCCAACCTCGCTTTGTCTAGATGTGGCTTAAGCTGTTCCATGGGTGGTGAATTTGTTAAAGAAAATAGTTCAGAGGAATGTATGAGACATAGCAAAAGCCTGTACTGACTTGATTTAATCAAGTGGCAACGGTGCATACCAGGGTTAGGATATGCAGAAACGCAATTGATTACGCTCCTCTTCTTGCAGGAATTTCGTGTTCATATGGATTAGTGCTCTCACCAGGACTGTTTGTCAGCCCCCAAGGGGTTTGCTGGTAATGCGCTAGTTAGGGGGCTGCTGGTTAAGATTTGCTAGCAAATTGAAGGTATGCACAGGAATCTGCTGTTAGTCACAACTTCTGTCTGTTTGAATATTTCACCAGGAGTTGGAGGCTGCGTTCCAGCCAGATACAAGTTTGGTTTCTGTAATGACTGTGAATAATGAAATAGGAGTAAAGCAGCCAATTCATGACATTGGTAAGTACACCGTGGCTTCCAGAGGCCCAGCTAATATCACTTCTGCTTCATTTTACTTAATATTTTTATAGCCAAGTGCTACTGATGCAAAAGATCAGGTGTAGCATAGTTAAGGAATAAATAATGCTGTCCGAAATAAAAACTTATTTCAAAAGGGAAATGAGGACAAAATTCAGTACTTTTGCAGTATTTCAGCAGTTAGAGCCTTGTAGTACAGATTAGCTGCTCTAGTTTCATTTTGAATTGTATGATGGATGAAAAAATTGCACAAAATAACTGGCCAAATTGAGTTTACATGCTATAATGGTTTATTGAGCGCTTGTGGTGTTTAAGAGGAGAAACGTGCAGAATTTGGGGTGGGAGGGGATGGTGAGCACCACACTTAGACACCCCTTCCCCCCAGTGTTGCCATATACAGTCATGAACAATTGGTTTGAGGGCTGAGAAGGCCGCTGAAGAGTCAGTTTCTGTAACAGGAGGCAGGAAGAGGGTGAGCCAGGCTCTGACCGGACAGGGACCTCAAAGCAGGTGTGGGCAGAGCTGGAGAACCAGGGTTGTTGGAGCAAGCAGGGTGAGCAGGTGGTCCACATACGCAGCTCCCTGGATCCCACCCATGGTGGTTCCTTGGTAATATTTCCCCTGACAGTGACAAAACTCTCCCATGTCCCCTTCATATCCAAGATGTCCTTTCATAAGATGTTTGAGTTTTTAGACAGTTTTTAGGCTTCGGCCCCTGCCTTGGAGTTTACACTGGTTCTGGAGGGTATTGTTTTCCCAGGCTGTGGCAGGTGTCTCTTCCTGTTGTGCAGCTGATTTTCCTCTTGTTTAGCTGCTACATTTTTCTTTCTTTATTATGCTCAAAACAGCGTTTCCCCCAAGGCTCTTCAAGGTTATATTTCTTCATTGACAAATATTTGACCATCAGTGAGTTGCTTATAGGCCTTAGCAACCTATTTTCCTCCTGTGCTTATGTTGTCAAGGCTGTTACTGTTGTCCCACGCTTAAATGGCAGAGATACCTGGTACCAAGCTCTGATTCCCACAGTGAGGTCTCATAACACCTTGGTAAGAGGTCTGATAGGCCAGGACTGGGGCCTTGCAGAGTTAACCTAAGGCTGTGTTAGTGTGAGGCTTATGGCCTAATATTAGCGGTAGCAATGCTGTTCTTGCTGGACCACAGGACAGCTTCTCCTGTGAAAGATAATGCTGACTAGTTGTGCAAAGGAGAGGTTTGGGATGCAACTGTGCTCAGTACCGATTCTGTGGAAGATGAGTAGTGAGTTTTTTGATGGCAAAAAATAAATAATATTGAAGTTCACTGCCCTCATAAGGTATACGTTATTTTTTTCCTTAGTGTATATGCTCTGGATGCAAAAACATTGATTACAGGCTTCAGGTGGGAGTAACCAGCCTGTGTGAGGACTAGTGACAATTCTGAGGACATTTCTGAAGCTGAGTATTGCAAAACTTGGAAAATAGAAGAAATGGCATAAAAATACTTGGGAAGTATAAACTTGAAAGTAAGGCTGGCTTATGCTGGACTGGTGTTGAGAAGAAAAAGAATCAAGAAAAAAAAATGTAATTTTGTCCAGCTGTGGAGTGATCCATGTAGGGA